ATAGATCCTCTTATCATCTAGTTTTTGCATTGTTGCTGTTTGGTTTTTTTGTTATTTTTAAGAAGTTTTTCATTTCATGCTCCCATATTACAAATCTTCCCTCCAGTTCAGATAATCTGTCCTTAGTTTCTTTCAAGCTGTTATGCCAGTTTTCAATAGAGTTTTTAGTTTCCGTAATCTCTTTGAACCAGCTTTATGTATTCTATGTTTTCTCTATCTTCTCCATTAAACAATTCTCCCCTTTTTTTCTGTTCTTCCATTCCACCATCTGTTTTTTCTTGAGTGGTGCTTAGCATTTCTCTAACTATTCTGCTTATGTCTTGTTTCAGGTCATTAATAACTTCATTCCTGAACTCGTCTATGAGGCTCTGGAGATAGTGCTTTATGTCTATTGGTGCCGTGTCTGCTATTGTATGTTTCTCAGGATTGGGGGCCGAGGACCCTTTCTTCTTGCTCCCTCTTCCATATTCTTTGTTCCTTATATTTAAGCATTTATAGGAGGCCCAGCTTCCTTCCCTGTCAGCCACAGTCTGTTTGAATTGCGCCAGCTAGGTGTTACCACCCATCGCAGTGCACCAGGGAGACACAGACCTGGGCAGTCTATGCCGGGCCTGCCCCTCCAGGTCAACCTACTGAAAGGCCTCACTGCTAGGGTGCACCTCCAGGCACTGGGACCTGAGTTGGGCTAGCCTATTGGGTCTCAGCTAGTGGCGTCTTGCAGGCCAGGCACTCCCCACCAATCCCACTTGAGAGGGCGATATGTGACTGAAGTCACTGTGGCATCTCGTTCTGGGAAATCTGCCCAGTCCAAGTATGTCCTCCACTGAAGCCTCCTCCTCTATGGAAGGGTCCCGATTCGCTCACTCACCGCAGGTTGATGCAGGGCACCAGGCCAGTCCCGCTCCCAACTCCTTCCAATGCTTCCCACTCTCCGAGCTTTCACGCCTCTTTCCCCACTATGCCGACCAGGACACAACAGCGACTGCAGGTAATTCAAGTCACAATTTCCCATAGCGTGGGGTCCAGCTTCCGTGCTGAGACCTTATCTTTTCCTGCTGTATCACCGGGATTGTGTTTCCAGTTGGTTTCTCTTAATTTAGTTCGTTCCTGGGTCAGCAAAGAATATCCCGCCTTGCCTAGGACTTCCTGCCTGGCACCATTCCTGGATTTCAAGTGCGGTTTCTCAGAGAGCCTCCGAGGCTGCTGCTATCTATCCGCCATGTTCTTCCCGAATATACATTTTTAATCATACTTGTATGTATATACTTGGGAGTAGAACTTTACTGGGTCACATGGAGTATTTGTTAGCTTTTCCATTGCTGGGACAGAGGACCTGATATGCATAACTTGAAGGAAGAAGGAGTTATTTTGGTTCACAGCACTGAGATGGCAGAAGAAAGCTGCTCAACCCCTGCCAGCCAAGAATCAGAAAAAGACAGGGAGGAACCTGCAAAGGCATGTCCACAGAGACCCGCTTCCTCCCGTGGGGCTCACCTCCCAGCAGTACATTCAGCTGTGAGCTCTTCTGTGGATTAATGCAGTAAGAAGTATAGTGCCCTCACGACCCAGTCACCTTTCAAAAATCTTTTGGGAAACATTTTAGGTTTAAACTATTAACATTCTATCCCTGGTACCCAGAAGGTCCATGCTCATCTCATTATGCAAAATGCATAATGTCCATCTCCAAGAACCACCAAAATCTTAACAGGCTTGGCATTGCTCAGAAGTCCAAGTCTTAGGTCTCCTGAAACTTAAAACATACTCTTAGCTATGAGAACCTGTAATAATCAAAAAGACAGTTAAATACTTCCCCCATGCCATGCATGGGTTAAATATTCACATTCTAAAAGGAGGAATGGAGAAACAGAAAGGAATCAAACCAAAGTAAGTCCAAAACTCTACAATGTAAACATCAAATTCTGTAACCTGTTATGGCTTGTGTCTAGATGTTCCCCCAACCGTTGTGCCATCACCAGTGGAGCTTTTCAGAGGTGATTGGATCTGGAGTATGTGATGTTGAGATCAAGAATGTGTGATTCCCAAATTAGTCCACTTATTGGTTTGGTATCACTCTGGGTAGGATGAAGAGTACTCCACCCTGGGTGTGAGTGCTGCCTGCCTTAGGGGCCTGTAGCCTGGATAAGATTTAAGGGACAGAGAGTGGCTCCCTATCCCTGCTTGTGTTCATTACTTGTTAGTCACTGCTGCTGCTGCTGCTGCTGCTTGTCTTCTGCTCTGTGATACTCCTCTTCCATGCCACCCTGCCATGCAGCCAGCCAATTGTGACTGGAACCTCTACAAACTGTGAGTTAAATAAACCTTTTCTCACCTAACTTTGGGTGTCAGGTATTTTGTCTAAGCAACAAGAAAAGTAAGACAAGCTCTGTGTCGAATATCAGGGCACATGGTGGTATGATATGAGTTCCAAAGAGCTTAGGTATCTCATCCCCTATGACCTTGCTGGTTTATGCCCTACATATCCTCTTTTGAACTAACTCTGTTCACTGCCTCCAGATTTCCTCACCTGATTTCACAAGTTCCTGTCATTTCCAACTTCCTAGGATATCCTTTGCAGCTTCAGCTTCACTCTTACAGCTTCATGCTTCATCCTCTCAGGGACTCCTGGCAAGAACTTCAACCGTGCTATACATTTCCTTTTAAATCTAGATGGAAGTTTTCATAACCTCATAATTCTTGTATTCCGTATACCTGTAAAACCAGCACCATGTTTATAATGCCAGAGTCTGCCACCAGCTTAAGCAATAGCTAGGCTCCCTTGGATGGTGACTGCTTTGGTTTCTTGAGTACTTATTTGACTAACCTCAAAGAAACATTTCCCTAGACTTCCCTGAGTGAGCAGGGCACTCTTTTTCAAGCAAAGTGTTTCGAGGAAGATTATACTTTTATACCACTGAGTCTGTAATGGTTGGATTCAGGCCTTTCATGGGTATTTTCATGACATCTTTCCCAATGTCCCAGGGCAAAGTATTTAGTTTCTTTTTAATGACACTAATCTCTTCAGCAACCAAGCCTCTCTTAGCTTCTACTTTATACATGTTTCTTTTCTAGCCAATCTGAAAATTTTTCAGATGTTTTGGCTCTACTTTTTGTTTCCAGTGATTAATATAAATCTGGTTAAAAGCAGTCAGAAGTGTCCATGCCACAGAATAAACATTGAGCTGCCTTGAAATTTCCTCTGCCAGATTACTTAATCTAGTATCTTTAAACTCAGCCTCATTCAAAGTCTTAATATGTACCAAATATGCAAGTTCTTTTCCAGAATGTAAAACACATGTCCTCTACTTCCCAATAAAGTCCTCATGCACACCTGAAACCTCAGGAGCCTGGCCTTTACTGTCCTCATTCCATGTCAGCATTCTGGTCTTCTGAACTCTGACCGGAACTGTCCATAAACCTTTTACAGCATTCTAGGGTTTCTCTCGTTGACATCTCCAAACCTTTATAAAGCACTTCTGCACACCAGTTCTGAATCACGTGGTTAGGTATAGTCATAATAATGGCCCCATATTCTAATACAGATTTCCTGTATTAGTTGGTTTTCCTGTTGTTAGAACAAAGTTCCTGACATGCATAAAGGAGGAAGGATTCATCACTGTTTCAGAGGGTTCAGTCCATGTTTGGCTTGCTCCAAGGCACGAACTGTGGTGGAGAAAAGCTGCTCAATGTTCATCATCCTGGAAGGAGGAAGACAGGAAGGAGCCAAAGCAGGAGATACAGCCTCCAAGGGCTCACCCCGAGTGACTTGTCTTCAGCTGGTACCCCCCCCCAACAGCATATTCAGCTATAAATTTATTATGCTGAGTACAGCATTTCCATGATCCAGGCACTTTCCAGAAGCCCCACTGATGAAAACATCAGACTTTTAGGGGACATTTTATACCATAACCATAACAGTTGTATATTCCGTGTTTAGTATTTTGAGAAACTGCAGCCCCCTCAGGAGTTCAAAGGTTTTAATTTCTCCACTTCTTCACTTCTAATACCTTGTGTACCTCATTTCCCTGATGACTAATGATGTTTAGTTTCTTTTCAGATACTGGTTAACCATTTGCATTTTTTCATTTTTGAAGAAGTATCTGTTAAAATCTTTTGCCTACTGTGATAAAAGAGTAATTTGTTTTTATTTGAGTCATAAAGATTCTTTATAATGTTCAGGAAATGAATCCCTTATCAGGTAGAATCCCCATTCTATCGGTTGTGTTTTCATTTAATTGATGTGAATGGGTAAATTTTAATGTTTGGAGTTTCACATGTTTTCTACAAACTTCAGTTTTAAAAATTGTCTCTCTGCTAAGCAGGAAACAAGCCTGACGGCATTGATATAAATAATGCTCTGAGTACATAATATTCTACTTATCGGAAACATTGTTCACAAGACCATAGACTCCTACTGGTCATCTTGGTGAGCATTTTACCCAGTGGAAAACAAATTTAGTTTTGGTAAAGCAGAAGAGAAGACTTAACACCTGATTAGAGTAGAATTTAATAATGGACAGCTTTGAAAAGTTATTCACATAGTTATGTATGGTATAACAACATTTTGGTCAACAGCAGATATTATGTACAGCAGTGGTTTTGAAAGATTATAATGGACCTAAAACAATTCCTTCTGTCTAGTATTTTTACAGTGCCTTTTGTGTGCTTTGACATAGCTATATAACAATTACTTAACCATTGTGTAGCATTTGCCTACTGTGTTTAATACAGTAACTTGTAGAGACTTATGTCCTAGCCTCTGGTAGGCTTTACCATTTAGGTTTAGTGTAAGTGTATACCATGACGCTTGCAGTGACCAAGTCAGCTAACAGTGAATTTCTCAGATACATCATGATTGTGAAGTGATGCGCAACTGCTATTTCAAAATACTGGTTGTTGAGAAGCATGTGAGCTTTATTTAATCTGACTTCTTCCTTTTTGTTCTTTTTGCCTCTTTCTTCCTTTTCCTCCTCCCATCTTCTTTCTCCCTGTTCCTGTTTCAGATTGAAAATGGCGCAAGCTTCAGTCAGCAAATTGACATCAGAGAAGAAAGTGGAAACAAAAAAAATCAATCCCACAGCTAGTCTGGTAAGATGCATTTTTCAAGAGTCTCCCGATTTTTTATTATAACTGAGGTGCTCCCAGAATGTCTAAATTTAAAGAATAAAACTCAGGGATGAAACGTAGTGTTTAAGACCCTCAGTTCTCGTGCAGAGTAGCGTATGGTAAAACAGAATGTGAGGATAAAGGAGCAAAACATGGCTTTATATGTTTCCCTGCAAACTCAGCCAAGGTTATTTCTAATAGGCCAAATTTCATCATTTGGCATTTTATGCCCTCTCATACTCCACCCACATCACAATTGTCCTTATTCATTTCTCCCTTGAAATGTGGTTTATTTACCTTCATCAGTTCCTTTTTGCACTTTTAGGGAAGGGGCAGGATAGGCTATTTTGATGGTTGAGAAAGTTCAGTTGCAGAAAAACATGTCTGTCTAGTGTTTTTGGCAAATAGATACCAAAAACCAGGACCAGAATTTCAGTCACCTGAATCTCTTCCTGGGAAATAAACCAGCAAATCTGTTCAGTCATTCTAAGTTTGAGGTGTCCTTGAAAGTGTAGTTTTCAATGAGGATCCTGGTGAATTCCCTCCTAAATGTTATGGACAATAGAATAGCTAAATGTAGGAACTAAGGATATTGGGAAAGGGACTACCTACATTCAAATTCCAGCATTGCCACAATAGTCATAAAACCTTAGTAAAGTTACTTCACCTCTTTGTCAAGAGAGTAGAAAAAGAAAGGAAATAATACTACCTTGATTTAGGACTGTTTTGAGGAAAGTGGGGAAGTGCCTAGAAAGTACCTTACACATAATGGGAGCTCGGTAAATGTTAACTATTTTCCTTGTTATGTGGACTCCACCAGCTTTGGGTGACCCTGACAATGAATGTATTATCACTGTCTTCACTTTGGTTTTTGAGCCCAGCCTTCTGTAATTGTTCTCATAACATGTGATCCTTTCATATTACATTGACTCTGGGGGGGGCTGCCTAAAATTGTTTGAAGATCCAAGTGAAGTCTAAATAATAAAATGAGATCATTGTCCCCAGTGTCACTACTAGCAACCCCATTTGTTGCTAAATGAGAGTTGCATGAAGTTGAACAAGAAGTAGAGGTGTTAGTCCCACAGAGGTGAACAGAATCAGTGTCCACTGCCCCAGTCTGGATGCATATAAGCTCTGTGCCCATGTGGTGGTGCATTCATTACACTCATCTGTGTGATTTTCAACTATGGACTTAATTCTGCTTTTTATCTCCCTCCTTCCTCAGCCTCTAGCCCTTTCCCTATGTCATGTATGCTGGGTTTGACCCTGACTTTTACAGCCAAACCAGTTCATTAAGGACAGAGAGAATGGGGTCAACTCTGCCAGATAAAACAGAAGCTATGAACTTAGTACTCCTCTGTGATCAAGCCCCTGTTTGTGATCTGAGACTATGTTAGGATTGTTACATTGTCTGTTTGTGATGGTCTTGGCAAATTAGGGAAAAGATTGTAAACTGATTTTTGAGTCAATTTTCCAGTCTGGGATGAGTCCAAAGTCATGATAAGTGTGTAAAAACTCATCAACTTGAGTTTATGTCCAATCCAATTTCGATACTTACTGCAACACCACAGCTACTAGCTCATAACCAGCCAAAGATCTGTTCTCAAAAGGTTTCTCTCTGCACCTGCTCTTTTTAAAGGAGCCCATCTCCCTTTCCCTTCTAGCCTCTGTTTGCCCGCCCCCAGAAGCAGACATCCCCATCCTTACCAGGCTTAATTGATTTCCATAGAGTTATGGAGACAGTGAGAGAGTGAGAGTCCTTGGCTCCTTCTGCGTCTCTCCAGCAGACCTCAGGCATCCCCGAGCTGGTGGGGCAGAGAGAACAGAGCAGAGCACCTATGTCAGAATGGGCACTTCTGCCCATCTGCAGAGATAGAATCTGGCCCTCTTCGTTCCACGTGGCCATTGTTCATTTCTGCCAAGTTGCTCCTGGCAGATACATTCAACTAGGAAATGAGGTTTTGCTTTTGCTGTTTCCTATCTAGACTTCCTAAAAACTATCTCTTGAGAGTTCCTTAGTGCCAACAGCTGGCCAGAGATGGGGTGCGAGGAGTCATTGAGTAACATTGCAAAGTTATAGTCTTTCATCACATATAAAGGAGAGAAAGCAGACAGCCTGGTCTAGTGAAGATCGGCGTTCTAGATGGGGATAGTAGGTTGACTGGCTGGATGCTCACTATTTTCCTTGTTTACAGAGGAGTAAAAGTAATGGGCTAATAGGAGGAAGAGGCAACAGGTTTTGTAGAAAGAAGGATAGATGATTATTTCTAGGGCACTTGTATAATTCTACTCAGAATTCTAGACCAGAATTTTAGAAATGTATTAAAAGTTGAGAAAGACAAAACCAAAAAATGACAATAAGAATAATTTCCTTTTCCCCCTTAACAGAAAGAAAGACTGCGTCAGAAAGAAGCCAGTGTGACCACAAACTAAGATGGAGATACAGGAAAATGATGGGGTGCAGATAGAGGACCCTGCATCCTTATCCACGACCTCAGTGCTGCAGGAAACACTTGAAAGATTTCTCATTAAATGTTTGCTTTGTTCATTTCTTTTTGAGGGCATCTACGGTAAAGGCACTATGTCTTCTTGTAAGAAGTCCCTTATTAAGCCCCAGGAACAGTGAGAAGCTATTTAAGGGAACACTGAGGAATATTTGTTAATTGTTTCTTGTACCTAGTCCAAACTCCACTAGAAGATGGGAAGAAATACCAGGATTAAAAAAAAACACTAAGGGTTAGATTTCAGGCTTTGTAAGCCACACTCTGGTATGTATAACCCTGCTATGGAAAGGAAAAGTTCTTCCGTGACAGTTGCCTTGGGAGACTCTGAGCCTTGGTTTTTACATGTTACTATTTCAGTTATTGTTCTTAATTTTTATCCTATTGCACCAAACTCTAATAGCTTCTCTCTGGTCAAAAACATTGGAACCTACCACAACTATTTTTGGAGAGGCTTAAGACTGTATTTTGTAGAGGAGGGCAATGATTTGCTTGTTATTGTTTGTGTAATGAAAAAGAAATAAAATACACTTCTATGTAGGTGAACAGTTTATAAGTAACTATCAACTTCATTGTGGAAGATATTAAGAGTTAACAGCCACTGAGAGACACCTATTCTTTTGTTTTTCTGTCAGTTCCTGTGGCTTCCTGGGGCTGTAGAAACTCTGCCTTCCCCCAGAACAAAAGCAGTAATAATTGAGAAGGGACAACCTTGGGGTCAGACCACCCACTTGGACAGGTAACTCGTAGGCAGAGCCCCTTTCATGGTTCAGAAATCTTGTGACTGGGAAGTGCCGTCTTGACATGCAGCTCAATTCTACATCGCCTTCTGGACTTGAGGCTGGACCTCTCCCACTACCTCTGGAAGCAGTTTCCAGTCCCATTACTGGCTGCCTTTTGTCATGGCCATGATGAACAGGCATGTAGAGCAGGTGAGCCAGAGGTATTTGCTGTCAGAACATGTAATGGCAGGGGAAAGACGTTCTTCACAGAAAAGTAAACAGCAGTGATTCTATTACTATTAAACTTGGAATGGAGTAGCAGGCACAAGTAGCTTTTTCTGATCCTGGCTCTTGAGTCACAGAGGAAAATCACCTTCAACTTCTTCCTGACATTTTTTCCCTCAAACCAGCAATCTGTCTTTACATGTTTCTATTTGTAACATGTCAAACATTAAAATTTGAGGAAAACAAAAACAAAAAATGACACTAAGAAATTCTTATTGTCACGCCACTCCTGCTGGTGTGGTACAAAAGAAAAGTTCCAGTTTGGCCCATTCAGTGAAAATCTGTGTGGTCAGCACAGTGAGCTCCGGTCAGCTCCTCTAGGTCCCTACAAGACTGACAAAAGTAGCAGGGGTGAGAGTGCTCAGTGGAATCGTGCTGTCTGCAGCAGGCCTCTTAAGTGGGACGCTCCTGAAATGCCATGGAGGTGTCCCATGCCCTTAAGGACACCACCTCAGTGACCCAGGGATGAATCATAACTGATGGAAGCATTAATTTGAGAGTTAGAGAAATACAGTCCACTTGGTATTTCATTCTAGAGAACAGACTAAAAATGTTCTGTAAAATATCCTTTTCTGAAGGACAGATTTATATACTCTGCAGGGGAGGCAGAGTGGCCTTGTCTCATTAATTGAATGTCTTATATAAGTGTGTTAAGAAACCTTGGCAGAATCTCCCTCACTCTCTCCCAGTTTGAACCCCATCCTGTATCTAGGATGCCCCTCTACAAAGCCACCGCTGTGAACACAGCCTTCATTTCTGACTTAAATTCATGCTAAATAAAGATTAACTGTTAAAGTTAAAAATTAACTTTAAAGCTTGTTCCAGGCAGGCCATCTAAAACAACCTGCAGACCTTTAAAATGGTCTGAAATGCAGTTGAGATTATGTTAAATGCAGCAGAGATGTCTGCGTTTTTCTCAGAGAACGGGTCATTGCCGTGGCGCTTGGTATTTAGGTACTTTAGGTAGGCAGGACTTTGCAGACTGCCCCAGTACCAGCATTCCCAAACTAGAGAGAAAAATGATAAGGATTACCACCTCATATTTAGCCAGACACTCATGCATGACTTTCTAGGCAGATGCTAAGAAACCTCACCTTATAATCACCTTTTCTCTTCGTAGCAAAGATAATTCTTAAGTCTGAGGGCACAGACTGATAGCAGTTCAGATTCTTGCATGAGCTACTGGGAATAATCATCAAATAGACAGCTATAGCAGCTATAGCACAAAAACATACAGACCCATTAGATAAAAAGCATCAGACCTCTGAAGTTCAAGTATCAGGAAGTATGCTGTATGTCTCTTATCCAAGAGAGAGACAGCTCACCTGGAAAATGAAAACAAAAACAGAAAATATGGCCAAGCAGCCTGGATGGGGTGGCACACACCTATAATCCCAACGCTCAAATGGCTGAGGCAGGAGGATCATTGTGAGTTAGAGGCCAGCCTGGGCTACAGAGTGAGTTCAAGGCCAGCCTGAGCTGCATAGTGAAACCACATCTCAAAAAGACAAAAAAGAAAAAGAACGTATGACCAAGTAGAAGGGGTCACCAGTTACGGACAGCCCAGAATACCATAATTACATTTTACAGATTAGTTATTTCACCTATAGGGACCTGACCACTGAATGAGTAGACTGAATAGAGAAGTGAGTTTTCATTTGTGTCAACTGCTTTGTCCTCTTATATAAGGAAAGCTGCAACATCATTAAAAGAAATCCATGTGGCCACGCTCATGGAATTTGAAAAGAATGGATATGCTTTACCAAAATGCAGATAATTGGTGGATGCATTTCTAACTAGAGAGAAAAAATTCAGCTGTTTAGAAAACATAATGGTAAGAAAAGCACCTTAAGAAACGTGGCTCAGCACATCTTTGTCCGTTAGACTCAGGTAACAGTACCCGGAACTCCAGAAGCCGTTGAACTGGCCCATACTCAAGCTGGGTACACAGCTATATGGACGTGACAGGCCCATTTTGTGTCATTTTTTAAAATATGCATCAGCTGTTAAAGGCACTGAATTTTAGCCTCCTAGTTCTTCATTCATCTTCCCAAGGAGCCAGGCATCTACCAAACTCTCCCAGATGAGTGCTTTGCTTAACAGTAACGTGTTTAAGAGAGTTTTAATGTCTTACACTGGAAGCCAACTCACAAACTCCCCAAGACTCTCATTTATTACAAGACTCGTAACCAATAACATGATGTAAACTTTATATTTGGGGAATCCTGTGTGGTTTACAACTTAGAAATATGATATTAAAAGGCTGGCTAGCTTTTAAGACACTATGAGTTTTTTGTCAACAGAGACCTCAAGAAAGCAAATCAAGTCTCATGCAGTAGGTCTGCCTTCCACAGATGGGACTGACTGGATGGCATATTTTATCAATTACTGGTCTGTGGAAGACTGATTTAATCTTAGTTTTTACATGAAAGTGATAGATGAAGCCACCAATCTATTCTACAGTCTACCTATGCGCTAATAATGTCCTAATTTTTAAATCTTCTCTTCAATATAGAGAAAATCCAAAGGCTAATAATCCAACTAATTCTCTGAGGTTTTCTTTTTAATGAAACTAAATAGCATTGGGGTAGCAAAATGCAATAATCTCATAAAATTAGGCTGAAATTGATAACCAAAGAAGTTGACATCAATTAGATAACCTCTGTCCCATAGACCTCTGAGTTCACAGGTATGTGACTGTCTACCCCAAGGCATGGATAAGAGATGTTCTGGAAAGAATTACCCTCTGGAAATTCTTGGGGTAGATTTTGAATTCTAGTTTATTTCCATGAGATCTATAAAAAGGAGGATATGGCATACAAAATTGTACTCCTTAATAAGGAATGAAAAAGATATTTAAAATCTTTGTATGTTCAATATAGTTCTGTGAACTATAAATAGCTCTTTTTCATCTTTGTTATCAACTTGTCCCTGGATATGATTGTATTTTTTCCATCTATCTGGCTACCAATGCATAAAGAAGATAAGTTCAATTGAAATATACCCCTATAAAGGTAGAATCTTTAAAATTAGAAATTGGATTCTTTTTAAAGAATCTTTAGAGAAAGAATGTCACTGAGTCATCTGAGTTTCTGTCCTTACATTGTAATTTAGACTAGTGTGGGGAGCACAGTTTCTTGAACACTGATTTAGAGGATCATTCCTTGGCCTGGAAAATAAGCATTGTCCTGCTTGCCTAGACCCTAAGTGAAATCAGTCAGCATCCTAATGTGCATCAGATGTGCCAGAAATGTAAATTTTTGAGTCCTTAGGAGTCTGATTTTCTTAGTGACAACTTGGACCTTGGACGCTGCTTTGTAAAATGCATTTGCTCTGTATGATTGTCTTCATCAGTCTCGTGAGATTTCAAGCGAAGGAAGAAGGGAGTAAGCAGAAAGCAGAAGGGAAGAAACTTTGAACAAAACTAGTTTGAACAAAACAGCATTTTATTAGTGTCGTGCATTCTGTTAGAAAGCTGTTGCTTTTTGTCTTCGTTGTATCATGGACAGGTTTCTAATGGGAATTCAAGTAACCTTGTGTTAGGCAAAGGGAAGTGCCCGATATATTATATTGTCCAGTGCCAGATATTAAATTAGTGAAGCAGGTACCCCAGTAGTACTGGTCCGCACTTGGTTTGATAACTGCGTGGATGTCACATTCTTCCATGTGGCTGCGTGTCCACAGACCTCCATGTTGTTTCTATGCAAGTCAGTGCTTAACTTCATACCTTTCCTCCTTTTAGTACTTACGTTTCAGCCTCCCCTCGGCTCACGTGCTACAGATCTTCTCTCCTGACCGTGTCTTTACAGTTTCTGCCGGATCCAGGCTCTTTTCTCCTCCCTGCATCATAGACACGGAATGTCTCCTTCTACCCTTACTCCGCCCTCTCACACCGCTGTTCCCCTGCTCAGTCTTTAGGACGGGGAGCTACCCTGTCACCAAGGAGCCCTAGTGAGACACACACCTGCGACTGCCTCTTGTTAATGTCAGCACCACCTCATCACTTAGCAAAGGGAAAATCCATAAAAGAGGAGGAAAAATGCATTTTTTTCCATTTTATTCTGCTTTTAAAAAGTTGGGGTGAGTGAGAGTGGTGCTAGTCCTCAGTTCTCATAGGTTTTGCTTTAAAACTCTAATTAGAAGACTTTTTGATTCATGTATACATCAGTTCAGGTTACCAGCTACAATATGTAAGACTAAATTTTTGACTCAACTCAGTATGCTGCTGAACAAACTGACTTCTTCTCAAACATTTTTAATCATAATGCTTTTTACCGCCACTGTGTTCTCATTACTACTCATCATTACAGCATCTACCCCTCATCTGAATCAGGATGCTGACCCTGTGTGTTATTTTCAGATTAACAATCACATTCTTTAAAGCACTTGAGGAAAATGTAAGCGCGTCCCTAAGTAGTCCCCTATTTGACTTGATAAAACCTTGGCCTTTCTGTTTAATTATTAGGTCAGTTTGTAAAGTAACTCTAAGGGATTTTAAGCAATAATGAAGACAATCTGGGAAAGAAGGCACTTTAAAGACATGAAACCTTACATTACATGCTCTTGGATATTATGAAACATAAGCTAATTGGATTCAGGTATTTTTCCCTTAAAATTTTTAAAAATATGTATTTCTAATTTGTTTGCATATTTAATTTTGTCAGAGCTGAGAAATGCTCGTGAGTTGAACTTGTAAATGTTATTTGCAACCAAATGAAGTATTTATTTTTAAAAAGAAAGGGTGATGGAACCAATATTGATTTGTACATAGTAAAAGTGTGTGTGTGTGTGTATTTTTTTTTCTCCCTTGACCTTACTTGGTCAGCATATGAAGTGTATTTTTGTACATAATACATATTGGTTAGAGAAATGTTGATTGTTTATGCAAAGCATTTTATCTCTGTGATAGGTTATATTTATCCTAATCTATTGATACCTCTGTTAATTTGTTTTAAGAGATAGAACTATATTTTTTGGAATTCACAGAGAATTGCATTCATGGCTTCCAACTGTAAATATGCTAAAATACTTTAATAAATCTTGGTTTCATGTCCCTCTGGTGTTCAGTGCAGATTTGATTTGAAAAAGCATTTAAAGCAGTAACATCGTAGTAACTTTAATATGGAGAGTGCTAGTCATTTCTAACTGGTTTTGCCCTTCATTTACAGTATTACTACTGAGCTGTAAGAGCTGGGTTTCAAGTAGTCCACCGTTTATACTTCCTCCTTTCACCCCTGCCCACCCTGCCAACCCTGGGCATTCTAGCTAAGCATTAAAGTCTAACAATAAGCAGGCACCCCCAGCCAGGTACTGCCTTGGCTAGACTGACCCAAAAGCAATATAGACTGAACATAAACTGCCCAAGAAAAGGGGCACTCAGGAATTGGTGGCTTCAGTTCATGGGTTAATAATTAAATACTGGGAAACAAAACAGAAATGTAATTGCACATATTCTGGAACCAAGCACAAAGTACAAATCCTTTTCAAGGAGTGACACAAAACAAGCAAATATTTTAGGAACAAAAAACCTAAAGCACTCAAGCAAATACACTTTTATTTAAGTACAAGTATAGTTATGCTTTTTGTAGATTCTACTACTCAATGTTTTTGAGTTCTAGATGTCTGATGAAATATGTACCCATTATCTATATAAACACTGAACAGAGATGGTTATTATCCAGAAAGATATTTCATCTCTAGGAAATCTTCTAAATGACAGAGACCCTGGAGACAATTTTTTTATCTCTGTGGACTTGCTGAAGGGTGTATCCAGTGAAGGCATTACACCAAGGCCAAAGCCCCTCTAACTGCTCAGCTTGTCCATCAAATTAAACTGTCCTCTTTGTTATGCTACTGCTTCATAGAGAATCCTTCTAGAACTGTTACTGGTAAAGAAAGGTCTGAAAACTCCTACATTCTACAAAAACCTTATGAGACTGTGTTCTGAATTGGAACAGCTGGGAAAGGTATTTGCATCATAAGGACCACCCTAAGGATAGTCTCTGTTTTAACCAAGATCTACTCCCATGCTGAATTAGACAGACATTTTTGCTTGTGTAGTTCATGGTCCTGCTAATAGATTTGGTCTGTTTTGTGCCACTGTGACCGAATGCACTCAACTGAGCAGACAGTGTAGGAACTAAAATTCAAGCTCGAGGCACCTGTGAGGGCCTTTTGGCTGTTGTTACTTGACAGAAGAGCAAAAAGGAAAAGAGGGACCCCTGTAGCCCTTTTATAGTGAGAGTCACATGACCCATGAGCCCTCTGATCAGCTCACCTCTTAAAAGTCTCACCTTTATATCCTATGACAGTAGCTTGTAAGCTTCAGCATGGCTTCAGGCAAGGAAGAATCTCAAATCATGTTAGGGAAATAAAAGGCTTTCAAGTTGACGTGCATGAACCTGCCTGTTTCGTCTTGCTTTGGGCATCTCTGAGTCTAAATCTTGTCAAGGTAGGTAACATTTGCTTACCAAATTACTCCAAAGCAGTGGATTGAAACAATCAGTTCTAGTTTCTCATGATATTTGTTGGTGAAGAATTTGGGAAGGATCAACCTAACTGGACAGTTTTTGTTTGGCATCTCATAAAGTTGCTGCAATATGAAATTGTATCTATCAACATCTGGAAACAGAAAGGCTTGAATGGGGCTGAAGAAGTAGTTCCAAGGGCTGGCTTGGCTGGCAGCGGGTGCTGGCTCACGGCTGGAGGCCTCAGTTCTCCACATGAGCCTCCCGGGCTGTGCAGGGTGAGGTTTAATGCTTGTGGGGTTTTTGTGTTGTTCTGTATTGTGTTTTAGTTTTTTTGCTTTGTTGGGAATTGAACCCTGAACCTCACCCATGCGGGACAAGCTTTCTGCCACTGAGCTACATCCTCAGCCCATAGTGCTTTTTTATGAGCAGGGTTCAGGAGTCACATGCAAGCTGTCAGCACATTGCATTGTTAAAGCACTTACACGGTCTCTCCAGGTGGGGAGAGTGGAGCAGAGACCCACCCTGAAGGAAGCTCACCGGCGCTGCCCTGTAGCGGCATGTGAGATGGATGCAGCCGTCTCTGGGAAGTGCCATCTGTCACAGAGCTTGTCCTGTTGTCTCTCTGGCCTTCCTTCTGCTTTTGTTCTCACTTTTATCCTAAAACCAAATTTCAAATTTCCTTTTCAAAAATTCCTTATTTATTTTCTGTATGTCTTCCCTCCTTTTGCTCCCATATTAGACTACAGACTTCCTTCTCTGAATAGAAGCATTCTTTTCTTTTTCATTTTTCATTTTTATTATTATATGCTTGCAGTAGATACTGATTACATTCATTGTGGAGAATTGGTTCATGTACATAACACATCTCAAATACCTTCCCCCTTCTCCTCCACCACCTTTTTACAAAATTACAAAAATTTTCTTGCCAACATCAGTTTCATGTATTTATCATGTAAGTTCTCACAATGTTAATTATCACACATATACATTAACAGTCAGACTTAACAAACCAAAAACATTTATAAAAAACATGAAACAGTTATACTTAATCATGATACACTTCTTGATACATCGTCTGTGCTGGATTATAATACCATCACTCTCCATCTATCTTTTCCTTTGCAGTTTATTTATGTAAGAGATTCTTCTACAAGAGAAATCAGGCGCTACTTTAAACGTAGGTGTATGATTTTACTTAACATTATGGTCTCAAAGTTCCTTCGTGTTCGTACATGTGACTTAAGTTTATCCTTCATGACAGGGTAATACTCCACTGTGTGTAACTACCACACTTTTCTTTATTCATTCATATGTTGATGGCATACATAAGCTGCTTCTACGATTTAGCTATTGTGAATTGTGTTGCTACAAACATGAGTATCACAATAATATGATGCCTGTCACTCTTTGGGGAAGATACCTAGAAAGAGGATAGCATGATCAAATGAAATTTCTATTTTTCATCTTTTGAGGAAACTCCTTCCTGATTTCTATAGTGGTAGTACCAGTTTATACATACAACAATAATGAAAGAGGGCTACTCTTCCCCTGCAGACTCTTCAGCACTTGTTACTGGATGGTTTCTTGATGTAGCCATTCTTTCCAGAGTGAAATAACATCTCAGTGTTGTTTTAACTTACATTTCTCCAATGGCGAGTTATGTTGAACATTTTAGCTATTTTTTTTGGCCATTTGTACTTCATCTGAGAGGTGTCTATTCACTTCAGATGCCAACCTTTGAATTGGATCTTTAAATTCAGAGATCTAACTTCTTCAAGTTCTTTATGTATTCTAAATTTTAGTCCTCTGTCTGAAGAGTAACAAAATTTTTCCCATTCTGCAGATGGTTATCTCTCTTTTCTATTTGAAATCATTGCAGTTGTTGATTCTTGGTATTATTCCATGTGCAACTGAGTTGTGTTAAGAAAATCTTTTCCTATACCTGTCTCTTCAAGAGTTTTACCTTTTTGTCTTCCAGTATATTAAGGATTTATGTTTCAATATTTAGATATTTGATCCATTTTGTTTTTAGTTTAGTGTATGATGAGAGATACAAGTCTGGGTTCAATCTTTGGCATGTAGAAAGCCAGTTTGTTAAAGAGGCTATTATTTCTCTGACAAAAGCATTTCCCCCTTTGTCATAGATAAGGTAGCTAATTTTTCTTGGAGTTGTTTCTGCATCCTCTGTTCTGTTCCATGAATCCACAACTGCGTTTTTCCTCCACTACCATGCTGATTTTATCACTGTAGGTTTGTAGTATAATTTCAAGTGTAATATTATAAGGCTCTTGCTTTAGTCTTGTTGCCCCAAATTGCTTTCATATTCTAGGTGCCTGCAGGTTTCATACAAATTTTAAGATTGCTTCCTCTAGTTCTGTGAGGAATGCTATTATTGTTTTGATTGGTATTGCATTAAATTTGTATAACAATTTTGGAAGTATAGCTATTTTGACTACATTGTTTTTAGCTCTAAGAACAGAAAATACCTTCTCATTTTCTGGTATCCTATTCAATATCCTTTTTTGGAGTACTATATTCTTTATTGTAGAGATCTTTCACTTCCTAGGTTAGGTTAATTTCTAAGTAATTCCTTTTCCTTGATACCACTGTGAAAGTACTGTTTCACTAAATGCTCCCTCAGTGAATTTGTTGTGGATGTATAGGAATGCTATTGATTTTAGTTTGACTTTGTGTCCTGCTATACTACTGAATTTGGTTATTCATTCTAAGATTTTTTTGGTGGAATTTTTGGGGTCTTCTATGTAGAGGATCATATCATCTACTAATAATGATAATTTAGCTTCTTTTCATCTGTATCTTTTTATTTTTTTCCTCTCATCTAACTACTGTAGCTAATGTTTTGACAACTATATTGAACAGGAATAGTGATAGTGGATGTCCTTTTCTTGTTTCTGATTTTAGAGGGAAAGTTTTCAGCTTCTCTCCATTTGCAATGATATTGGCCATTGGTTTGTCATAGATGGTTTGTATCATCTTGAGATAAAGACATTCTGAACATATTTTCCTCAGGATTTTTATCATGAGTCGGTATTAGATCTTTTCAAACACTTCCTCTGTATCTTTTGAGATGAACCTATGATTTTTGCTCTGGTTTCTGTTTGTATGGTATATTACAAGTATTGATTTGAGTATGTTGAGCCACCTCTCAACACCTGGAATACATCCTACTTGGTGATGATGTAATGGTCTTTTGAATGCTTTTGTGCTTTCTGTATGCCAATATCTTATTGAAGTTTTTGTATCTACAGCATGAAAGAGATTGGCCTGTAGTTCTCTTTGTTGGTTGGGTCCTATTCTTGTTTTGGAATCAGGATAATGTTTGCTTCAAGGAATGACTTTAAGAGTATTGCTTCCTTTTGATTTCATTAATGAGGTTGAGCAGTATTGGTATCAGATAGTCTTTAAAGTCCTTGCAGAATTAAGCAGTGAACTCACCAGAACCCAGGATTTTATTTTTTGGTAGTTTTTTTTATATACATAATTTTATTGCTTCTTTAATTTCATTGACTGATTTCTGATTATTGAAAATTTGTGTATCTCCTTGGTTCAGCTTTGGTAGTTC